AAGCGCCTGATAAATTTTGTGGCTTCCAATAATCTGCTGATCGGAAGCACGTGCTTTCCTCACAAAGATCACCTTAGCGCAAACACGGCCCCAACAGACGATTCACGACATCTCAAATTGACCAAATGCTCGTGAGCATGAAGCATAGGTCCTCACTCCTTGATGTTAGAACCTACAGGAGTGCTAATGCCGACCCCAATCATTTCATGGTTGTGGCGAAAATCAGAGCCAGAATATCAGTTACAAGAATTAGGCTTATAAATATGGCAAAATGATTCGACATCTCAAAGCTAAAGGATGATGAACATTGTAATCACCTGCAATGAGGGGGATTTTTCGGCCCTGGCTCCAGGGCTGACTGAAAATGTGTCATTCAAATGGAACATTTACTTTTGGGCTAAATGCACATCAAAAGCTTTTAAAGCTAATTCATATTCCGAAAAATCGATCTGCTTTTCGTCACTTGTAGCATCCTTTTGCAGAGCTGGTGGTGTCACTTTTTCAGGTGGAAAGCTAAAATATAAGCCCCGTAAAGACATACGTCCACAGTGCAGCAACAAAGCTTTTTTTTTTCTAGAAGCTTCTGTTGTTCCTTTTGCCTCTAAAAAAATAGCAAAGGCCCTTTTCTATCTCACTCACTGGTTTCCAACATCAGGCTGGTCCATATCTAATACTGGTAATTTGAATGTTTGAAAAATCCATCTTTTCTTTTTATTTTATTTCCACAATATCCTCGTCGCCCATGTAATAATGACTTACAGTGCTATCAATATTTTTATTGTAATAATCACATTTATCAATTTTATACACATGGTTTATATCTCTTATAATCGATTATCAATTATTCCAGAGAGACAGGACACTACAATGGAGAAAATTTATAGTAAGGACACGATGGAAGAGACCTGAAATGAAACAAGAAAATTGAAAGTTCGAAATTTAGGTCACTTATGTGGTACATGCTAACACTCCAACAACTGTTTCAAGACTTTCTGATAGAAGAATGTCAGCTCATCCCTAGTAAAAAGATAGGAGAAGGAAAAACCCATGGGTCAGATCTGACAAGCACAGAATTAATTAAAGAATTCATTATTATTTTTCAACTTGTTTCTAGGGGTCATTATTTTATTAATTTTTATCTGCAGGCTTGTCCAAATTGTCCTATTTATGTTTTAGTTGAAGAGAGGACAGTTCTTCTGAGACTTGCATGAGCTTGCATTTTTTTCAGAGTCCAAGGACAGAACCTGAAGGATTTTTACACTCCTAATGAGTACCGGAAATAGGTCAATATTTTATAGTTTAGGCTACCTGAGATTTATTAAGCAATGTATGAGTTACTGAATTAAATCCCAATAAAGGAGAACAAAATAATTAGGAAACTCCAGGAGATACAGCTAAAAGACAAAAGAATTTATATCATGAAAAACTGATACATTAACTATAGCAATGTCTTATGAAACAAAAGATAAACATGCAATTACTGATTACTAAATACTAATTTAATTATTAATGATTAAAAATAGAAAAGAAAAATAAACAATTTTAATAATGAAAACAAAATATTTTTTGTTTGATATTCTGAAACTTACAAACTAATTTTTAGTTTGCAATTTAGATCAATTTTCTGCAGGCAAAGTGAAAACTCAGAACAAACATAATTTAATAAATCAATTCAGATTCCTAGTTGAAATTGAAGTTATAAAAGAAAAACCTGTGATTATTAATAACTAAAGACAAACAATATGTTAGAATAACAAACAAAATACTCTATTTCTCCAATTTTCTGCATATTTTATCTTTTTTTTTCCTTAGACAATTTATTTAGACAATAGTGTTATACATGTGGTCAAGATTATTATGAATAATGTAAATCAAGACATGAATAATGTATGGTCTGGACTCAGGCACATGCATTATTAATACTGAAAAAAGTCCTTGGATATTGTCTGAATTCCTGGACAAAGGCTTATCAACTTAACTAAAAACAAAAAATAGGCAAGAACATTCAAAATCCATTGTTAACAACCGCTATCTTAGTTTTTAAAAAATAGAATAAGAATAGTAAATAATATATCAATTGCTTCGTATTTAGAATTTTAAAAATATAATGTTGATACATTTTCCAACCATGAGCAACAGAAACCAACTCAACGATAATCATTGATCATTTCAATTACCAGATAATTAAATAATGAAAATCTATTTAAAAGTCGATCTGATAAAAAATCTATTATTTTTGTTTTTAGGAATTATTCACATATAATAATGGTGTGATATACTCCTTCTTGATAAATAAATAAATACTTTGCACTGAAAAAGAAACTTCTTATTAAACCAAGATCATCTGGAGAAAATTAATTCTATCCTCATGGTCAATAATGGAAGGACCTGAATAAATATACAATTGTGATAAAGGTTATATTATTGTGATTAATAAGAATCAGTAATACAAAAGTTCTGTAATGTAAACATATAGAGAAAAGAAATAATGAAAATAAATATCAACGAATCAAATAAAAATATAAGCCAAAACAAGACGTATTTGAAGGAATATTTATTTGATTACTTTAAGAATGAGAAAAAAAAAAAAATCTAAAAACGAATTCTTATTTATCATGCTCTTCTCTTGCGGGTTCTTCATGCAGTCTGATCTCAAATCTGAGATTCTTTTTTAGGAATCCACAAGATCTGAGAGCTAGTTTTGTTTAGTATGTACCAACAAGGTCTGTTGGCTGGTTTTCTATATTCATATCCACAATGTCCAGAAGCTTGTTCCCTCCAGCTGTGGCAATGTTTGAAGCCTTGTTCCCTTCAGTTACCTCATTTCTTATAGGTAATGAAAACAGTGGGTGACCCTTCATACTCACTTGATCATAAATCTATAATTATTCTTGTGTATCTATTTACTACCTACCCAAATATCTCGATAGGCAAACACAGTATTGAGGGTATATCATACCTACAACCTCCTAAATAAGAAAGTATTAATAAGCCATATTATTAGAAATAATGAAAAAATAGGTTTCTTAGAAACATCCAATCAGAAAAATTTACATTAATAGAGATTGGAATCTAAATATTTATTTATGAAAAACCGTTGAAAGGTACTTCTTGCCAGATCACTAGTGATTAAATCAGAAAGTTCCAATCATATAACTTTCGGCAAATGAGTATGATCATTCTTCTGATGAAATGTATCGGGAACATGTAGGAATGATCTTAAAAAAAAACAGTAGGGTAAACTTCAAAACATAAACCTACACTCAGAAGTATTAAAACCTACTAAATCATTTAAGCAAGATAGAAATAGTTCATTAATGTCTCTTGGCAGTATTATTGGTAACTAGATTTTTGAATTCAGGCTCAATGTTACAAAAGTGATATCCAAATTCAATAAAAGATATCCTTCTATATATAATATACTAGTCTTGTTGGGTTGACAGGCGTGCCAAGATCACAATGTTCCTGGAACGCCAAAGCTAGCCAACATATCTGTTTTTTGACAGTTAGGTTAGACTACATTTCATATAAAAACTAAACAAATTACACTTAAAAAAATGCTTCGTAGATATAAATACACTTTAATAGAATAATTTAATTATTGAAATAACAATAAAAATATATGAGATTAATGGATATATCTTATTATTTTTGTGTAATTATATCATTGGTGTATTATTGAGTTGGTTTGTAGGTACTGTTTTAATTCTTCATTTGTTTCCTTAATTTAATGAGTGTTATTTTAATTGAATTCCTAACTTCATAATTATTTTTATTAGAAGTAATTGTGCTTCATAATTCGTAAAAGTACAGTGACTCGATTTATCAGTCAAAAACATAAAAATTGTGTTTATTTTCATATTTGGCATCTAATATCACCCAATCTTTTAAAATCTATCATTATTTATTATAAAATATAGTTATTTATTTAAAAAAAGTTTGGAGACGTCTCCTTATGCTTTCAGTCAAATTTGGCTAGTTCCAGCATCCCACAAACAGTGTAATCATATGATCTAAGCAGACATGTCTTGCTTTGATTGATCCAAACATACGCACAAGGTTCTGTTGTGACAATTTTCTTCACTTTTCCATCAGTCCTCTCGTTGTCATAGAAAAAGTAATTTGGACCGTACTACCTTCTTTCTTCTGCTAATAAATTCACTAAAACTCACCTTTAGTGAATTTTATCAACTAGATGCTTAAAACATGTGATATATATATATATATATATAGAGAGAGAGAGACATACATATATGTACCATCTTATTTCTTACAAAAGCTCATGTTTATGGAAAAGTCCATAAGATATTTTTTCATCTAAAACTTAATTATTCTGCCCTGTTGCATGGAAATTCTTGTATTTGCATTAGCATACAAATAGTGGTTTTAATTTATTTTTCATTGTAATGTTGATTATTTAAAACTAAGAACATTTACTCACAATTTTCAGTTAATAAATCAATTAGGTACATTAAAAATCAGAATACAGAAACCAGTTGACAATAAGAAGTATAATTATATGAGAAAGATGTTTCATAAAATAGCAAAAAGTTATAGATATTAAAAAAGAGAATATTTATTTCAATACCCCAGTGCAAAGTCAACTTATCCAATTCTTTTAACAAATCACAAAGTTAAAACAACAATTATAATCCCTCCCAATCATAATTCCTCAAAATTGCAAATTTCATTATAGATGCATGGTATAACATACTAAATACCCATTTGATTAAGATTAACCAAAATTTTATATCTTCTTAAGTTCTTCATTCTTAATTAAAATATCACTGAATACTCCAGTAGGTCAAATACAATTTGAAAAAAGTTATGTAAATAAACTTATTAATACTTTTGATACCTATTTCTAATACATATTTGGCTAAAAATTAATATTAATATTTGACAGCAGTTTTTCTTAAAAATTCATCCAAGAAAGGATTTAAAACCTCACTTCAACAATGTTCATACACAAATTACAAGAACCCAGAGATAAACATTACCTCTTTGAAAAAACTGTAATTTGGAAAACAATCTCTGGATGTTTCATCAGAAGAAAAATCCGTAGCTGAAGAAGATATAATGATGTTAAGACAGTCACAAGTAATCTGCATACTGTATATAGGACTATCTATAAATACTTATAACATAACAAAAAATTCTGAATGAGATAATGATTGTTAGAAAGAAAAACGGTCTTTAAACAGTTTTAAAAAAGACACAATTAGTAGAATAAAATCGTAAACAACTAAACACAAGTCCACTCAAGTTAGAACGAAACCTTTTTGAAACTAACCCCATTTACACTGTTTTAAGGAACGATTCAATCAATCTAATGCAAAGCAAAACTAACTGAATGTCGCCATGATCCCATTTTGGAGAATAAGATTCAACATTAAAATGATGATCAAATATGTACTGCTAAGTTGATTTTGATTTCATTAATGCTTTCTTATTTAATATTAAGAAACTAACAAAAATATCATAAAACATAAAAATTAATATATCTTATAAAAATATTTACTACAAAATGGCAACAAGAAAAGAAAAGCTACCTTTGGAATAAGCGTTGTATGACATAAAAGATTTATATTTTAATATATCTTTTTTTCTTTAGAATCCCTTATGCAGTATTTACTTTATTAACATATTAGTAACAAAAAAGATTGATTTTTTTTTCTCAGAGTAGAGTTTACAAGTATTCTATTTCCAGTCACCAGTTGGAAATCACTTATCAGATTCTGGGAAGATATTAGTGAAGATTTCCTTTCTAAATTTTTGTAAGGCTCTCCAAAGCCCTTTTCTGATGACTATGATATCTTGGAATAAATATCTTGCTTTGATTGATCCAAACATACGCACAAGGTTCTGTTGTGACAATTTTCTTCACTTTTCCATCAGTCCTCTCGTTGTCATGAACGAAAAGTAATTTGGACCGTACTACCTTCTTTCTTCTGCTAATAAATTCACTAAAACTTCCTCACTTCTAATCTTATCCATATTCTTGACATACATGCTCCTATCAAAACCTCAACCTTCTGTCGCCAACCTGCTCCTTGGATGTGTCAAGAAATCCGCGACATGCAAAAGAGACGTGAGGCAGCCCGTAGACGCTTCAGACGAACTCGACTAGCAGATGACTATCAAGTCTATAGGGTACTCCGTAACTTGACACAAACAACGATCAGGAAAGCGAAATCAAACTTTTTTCACGAAACTCTCGCTTCTGCTCCTGACTCTAAATCAATATGGCTAACCCTTCGTAAACTCTCTCTTTGTAAATCCTCTTCCTCACCGTTCTACCCGGTATTAACCGATGAACTAAATTCCTACTTTATATCTTCCACCACCAGCAACAGTTCACCCACCTCTCACCAGTTTTCCTTATCAACCTCATTTAACAGTGATAATTTCTATTTCTCCAACATCTCACCGACCGACCTTATTTCCTCTATAATGAAATCACACACAAACTCCATCGGACTTGATGGGATACCAGTCAAACTATTAAAATTATGCCTTCCCGAAGTCGTTCCAGTTCTCCTTTTCATCTATAATTTTTCCCTCCAGAACTCAGTTTTTCCAACTGCTTGGAAAAAAGCATTAGTCAGACCTATCAACAAAATTCCCAATCCTACCTCTCCTAAAGACTACCGCCCAATCTCCATTCTTTCTAACCTTTCTAAACCTCTGGAAAGAATAGCTCAATCCCAAATCTCTAAATTCCTTGAAAACTCAAAACTACTCGATCCTCTCCAATCTGGTTTCCGACCTGGCTTCTCCACACAATCCGCCCTACTAAAAATTACCAATGACTTACATACCGCAATGGACGAAAAAATGTTAACTGTATTAATACTTCTCGACTTTTCCAAAGCTTTTGACTCCTTAGACCACTCTATACTCTATACTAAATTAAAATCTCTATCCTTCTCCAACAGCTCTATCCTCTGGTTACAGTCTTTCCTATCCGACAGAACTCAAGCAGTCAGCATTCCAAACCAACCCCTATCTTCCTTTCTTACACTGTCCTCTGGAGTGGCCCAGGGTTCGAGCATTTCCCCTCTCCTTTTCAACTCCTACATAAATGATCTTTCCAAATCCATCTACCACTGTTCACATCATTTATACGCTGATGACACCCAAATATATTTTTCCTTTCATCCTTCTGAGCTACTAGTCGCGTTCGCCAATATTCAGGCTGACCTAGATAGGATCAGTGCCTGGGCAAGTCTGAATAATTTAAATCTAAATGCGATGAAAACTCAGGCCATTATTATAGGTTCCAGTCCTATTCTTAAATCCATCTCCTTCCTTCCTCCTTTAGTCATCAACGATCATCCTGTCACATTCAGTTCATCCGTTAAAAACCTAGGAATCACCATAGACGAAAACCTCTCCTGGAAACCCCATATTGCCCTCATCTCCCGTAAGTCAATAGGTACCCTTAAGCTATTTCATCGCTCCCGCCACCTACTCCCACAACCCATCCGCAAGCTCCTTGTATCCTCTCTCATTTTCCCCCACTTTGACTACGGCTGTGTGGTGTACGGAGGCATCCCGATGGTACTCGAGGATAGATTGAAGCGACTCATGAATACGTGCTTAAGATTTGTCTTCGGTACATCAAAGCGATCTCATGTGTCCCACCTTTACGACGAGTTAAAGTGGCTCTTCCCTTCTTTCCGCATACAATATTTCCTCGGATCTTTTCTATTCCAAACAATCAACACTAGACACCCTTCTTACATCTACAGTCTCCTACAGTTTAAACCCGTGGTCCACTCCCAGAAAACAAGATCCCGTGTTTCCGACCTTTATATCCCTTCCCATAGAACTAAGACGTTTGAATATTCCTTTATTTCCCGATCCACAGCCTTCTGGAATTCCTTGCCATCTGAAATCCGTCATGCCTCTTCCTTGTCCTCATTTAAATATCATCTTTACCAATTCCTTCTCACATCCCAAAATGACGTTATACAATAAAATAAATATTGTGAAACAGATTTTGACTGAGGTGAATGATTGATAAAATTTATTGTCTTAATTCTAAAAATCAACCCATGCTTATTTTATTTTATTTTTATTTTCATTTAAATAATGTTGTTTTTTTTTATTTCGTTTTTTCTCAAAATTTTATTTTATTTTTACTTGTTTTAATTTAATTTCACTGAAGATACTGTATATATTCTTTAATATTGATTAATGTAATTTTTGGCCAGATGTAGCTTTAATTTTTTTTGTTCATATCTGTTATTCATAAGGGACCTTGTCCCAGAATAAAGTTTACTTTCTATCTAAAACTCACCTTTAGTGAATTTTATCAACTAGATGCTTAAAACATGCGATAATGACAGTGAGTTTGATTGAACTACTGTCGTGCTCCATGGCATAAGTCGGTCATCAATTATTGCATATAATACTTTTATTTGAGTGACTGGATTGGTTGGCTTCGCTCAATGCCGATACATTTCTATAATCTTCAATAAAATTTAAAATTTCTTTAAAAGTCTGTGGCATTTTGACTATTAAAATAGAAAAGAGGCACGGTATGAGGACAGGTAATAGAAATGAGTGAGATAAGCTTGCAATAAGTCATGCGCTCTCATTGAATTTGAATACAGAGGGGAATAGGTATGCTTCATGTTACATTTTCTATGCTTCATTAAATATTTATCTACTGTTGCAAATGCTTTATAGAACAATTATGGATGTATCTTTACGCATTTTAATTGTCTGATGTTGATTCGGTTGTTGTTAGAAGTTACTGCCAACGTTTTACCTTACAGTTGTTCTCGGAAATGGACCAGTGTTTCCAACAATTACTTGCTTACAATTCTTCAATAATCTATTTCAAATCAATGATTTGTCTAAATAACTTTCTCTTGTTGATTGCTTTTCACATTCATAAAACATAACTTACATTAGAATATAACACTGACATCAAAGTGGCTAAAACATTAAATATATAACGCCAAAATCGTGAGTTCTAAGGATGTCACACAGGCGGATCTACGGGGAGGGGAAGGGGACTTTCAGGCTGAAGCCCCCCTCCCAAATGGTAAAATATAACCCTGTTTTACAGAAAAAAATATTTTAAACTATCTCTTAAGTATTCTTGTTCGTGTAATTATATTTAATAGGACTTTAAGAAGAACCACTTAAACACCATTTCATATTGATAATTAATTTCTTTATTTTTTTTTCAAATTAATTATCGTTATATGTATATGAAAAAAAAATCCTTCGGGCTGAAGCCCCCCCTCCAAAAAATTAAATCCTGGATCCGCTAGTGGGATGTCAGAAGTTGAACTGGTCAAACTGAGAACTAACTTACCCGACTGGGAAACCAACAAAGTATTCAGATCTTAACATCATCAACGATCATCATTTTATTATTTCTTTGAGTATTACAATATATAAAATAATGTATCATATTTTAACAATGTAAATATCAAATAACTATAATATAAATACACAGTCCATTTTTCATTTGTAGGGTTGCCCAGAAGGGGGTTTCATGGCGGAAGTTGCGCCATCACAATTTTTGAGGGAGGCACATTTCGACGGAGCTATGATTTTCGGATTGAAAATTTCACATAAGGAGACTAAGACAATACATGGGGAAAATCTCAGCAAGTGTAATTGTATATGATTTACGATACTTTTATTTCTAATGTTTTTATGAATAGGAGAGCAATAAAATATCTTGGGGAGGGAAGGGGGGAGGTTCATGCGCCCTCGACCTTAGGAGGGGGCACTACTTTTCATTTGTAACCACTAACCGCAAAAGCGACTGAACCAAATTTCAACATCAGCTTCCTAGCATGCTTAGCAATTAATTATCTAATCTACCAATTTCTGTGGAGCAGTAACCATCACGGGCGGATCTACAGGGGGGGGGGCTTTCGGGCTGAAGCCCCCCAAAATGGAAAAATATAACCATGTTTTATGAGAAAAAACATTTAAAAAATACCTCTTAAAGTATTATTGTTCGTGTAATTACATTTAAAAGTACTTGAGGAATAACTGAAACACCATTTCATATAGGCAGTTAGTTTCTTTCTGTCTTTCCAAAGTAATTATCGTTATTTTTATGAAAAAAAAAGGTTTCGGGCTGAAGCCCCCCCTCCCAAAATTAAATCCTGGATCCGCTAGTGGTAACCATAAACCATAAACGAGTTGACACTTTTGAATCCTCCCTTTTTGCATGCATCTCTCAATATGTGATCATTGTTGGTGATCTGACCACCAACATCCTTTCATATTCTCCGGAAAGAACATACCGTATCGACCTAGTTTTCTCCCAAAATCAATTTACTGTACTCTTCCAACCAGTGCCGGCCTTAGACATTCGGTGCCCCCGGATAA